AGATGTTGGATGCTGCAGATGTTGGATGCTGCAGATGTTGGATGCTGTCTATCATGGTGCACTAAGATTCATAACTGGCTACAACTATCGTACCCACCACTGCACCCAATATTAACTGGTTAACTGGTCACCATTAACTTCACACAGACTCTCTCACTGGTACATCTTCATCTTTAAATCACTTCTTGGTCTGCTGCCTTCATACATCTCCTCCTACATGTCTCTGTGTGAGTGCAGCTACAGCGTGCGCTCTCAGAACATCATTACCTGCAGTGTTCCCTCAGTGAGGACTGAACTAGACAAAAGGACCTTCTCCTACTCCGCTCCTGTTTCCTGGAATATGTTGTAAAAAGATCTGAAGCTCTCGACCTTTGACCTCTCTAAGTGGTTTCAAACATCTCAAGTTTCTGGCAAAAACCAGTGCAGACATGTTCCTGTTTTCAGTACTTTACATCACCTTAGAACCTAGCTGTATTTGTTTTTTTTAAACCATTTTCTTTAACTTGTTCTTCTTAATTTGTATGCTTTCTTTTATGAATGTCTACTATTGTCATCACTCTTTGTTAAATCAGGTCTCTCTTGTAAATGAGTCCCCGAGACTCGATGGGATTAACCTGTAGAAATAAAGGTTGAATGAAAAAATAGCCTACGCTGGGTTATCTAAACGTTAGCTTGCTAACTTGAGAGGCAGGTAACTAATGACAAGTGGGTTGAAGGACTGAAGAGATTTTATTATTGTTGATTTTTTTTTTACAGATCAGTTAAAATAAACTTATCAGGCTCCGTTCAGCAAAATACGCCACACAGCTGCTCCCTGCTTGTCTGTGCTGAAAGTGAAACTTAAGGCCATGACTTGAAAGTAGTCTTCATGCACCCTCTGCTGGATATATTGTACAATTATGACTGGGTTCCATCCAGCATTTTAGGGGTGAAAATCAAAAATGCTTATGTTGGTGAATAAGACAATTATCACCGATACGATACGTCCACAAACGTCTACATCGGTCGAAATTATTGGCCCTACCAATATATCGGCCGGGGCTCTAATTTTTAACATAACATTTATACCACCTTATGAAGATTGATGAAAACTTGTTCAAATCCATTAGATTATGCAATCATTTTTGAGAATAGTAATTGATTACAATAACAGGGCTACAAGTAATACAGTTGTTGGAATGACAAGTCTTCAGCTGACAGTTTACCTTTCTGTACATGTAGCGCAGCATGAAGTCCAGCAGAAAGGATTTGCCCTTGCGAAAAGCTCCAGCCACTGAGACAACGACCACGTTGAGGTCCTGCACCTCCTTCTGCAGCAGCAGTTGCTCCAGTGCTGCCTCCTGCAATGAAAATGAGTGCTCCTCTTCATTCGCCTCCACAATCTGCACCGGTCGGGCAACAAACACCTCTTCTTCCTCTTCATCTTGCTGGTCATCCTCCTCCACCTTATATCTCAGTCGGGATGTTTCTGATTTAAATGCATGGCCACCTGAAAGGAAAACAAAGTCAAAATTCTGAAAGCTCTTGGGGCAGCAGAAGACAAAAAGATGATCTCGTTCAGATAACAGTCAATGGGTTGATTCTGCCAGTCCTAGAGAACAACTGACAAAACACCTTGAACAGTAACACAAGTGTGGTACCGTTAATATTACATGAACAAGCAAAGCAACTGCAGTAATGCAGCCAAATGTATTTTCTTGACCAGCCAGTGCTATTTTACAGTACTGGTATTTTTCTTTGACGAGCGATTCTTTCCATTTGGTATTTACTGCCTCATCCGTAAGACGACATCCTTGAGCTGTTTCTACAACTTAAGCAGAGCACTGCGTCTGTTTGCTCGTGATCTGGAGTCTGAGCGGAGCTGCTACGATCTCCGCTCCTCGTCTAGAAGTGGCAGAGCTGTGTGGGGGGGTGGGGTATTTGGTAGGCGGGGCGCTTGGTTCTGTTGACAGGGCGGGGCACCCTCCTTGAATAATTGTAGGGGAAACATTGTGCGACTTTCGTGGACTCACTCTTTTGCAGGTTTTCAACACAAGATTGTACAAGACACACAACTGGCTGATTGAGGGAAGGCGACTAACCACAGCATTGTGCTGAGAGGCGGACTGGTCATCGGGAGTACTGGAACATTTCCCAGTGGACTGGCCCCCTCAGTGATCGCCGAGGGACTGGACCAAAGGCTTGGTTCAGGTCGCAGACCCAGGACGCAAAGCAGTGCTCTGCTGACAAACAGCCTCAGAAAGAGAAAGGAGGGGCTGCAGTGGGGTCTGAATTTCCTCATCGCTACTGCTCAGGGAGCTTCAGTGAGGCAGATACCTGAGTGAGCGGCATATGCTAGGTTGTTATTGTTTATTTAAAATAATCAAGTGCGACCCAAACTGAACTTTTAGTCCAGCCCCTCGGAGATCACCGAGCAGGCCAGGCCACCAGGAAATGTCCCAGTGCTCCCGATGGCCAGTCCGCCCCCGGAAATGGCTCAGTAACTGTAGCATCAGTCTGTCTGCTCTCTTTCGCTGAGCTCTTTTAGAGCATTTAGAACGTTTAGAACATTGTTAAATGAGGGACTACTGTACATATATATCGACTGAGACATGAAAGATTTGTATAAATGCTTTGGTCTCCTGATTTACATGTTTGTGTTCCTGCCAAGTATCCAGGATCAATGGAGACAGAACCACATAATGTCTGCTCCCCTTCCAGCCAAAATAATAAGAACACGAGACAGATTCAGATCCAGATTCTGGAACATTCACCTGAGTGATCCTGAGCAGGACATTAAAAAATAACTAAAAAAAAGGAACTGTGATGTGCCCCTTGTTTTGTACAGAAACTGGTTTTACGAGTGGCACAAATGATTTATGGCATTTTATTATAACACCTCATAGTTCTGCACAAGAAAACGCCCGAGAAAATGGCTGCATTTCATGGGAAATATTGTATAAAACTTGTTAAATTTGTACATGTTTATGAATATTACTGTTTATATTTGCATTCTAAGTTGTAAAAACAACTCATTATGAATGTTAGTGGTTTTCAAAGTAAAGAATTCCCAGTAAAGTTTCCACACAAATTTTATTTTTTATGTGATTTTCTCATCCACCAGCAAAACCCCGGAAAGATGAGTGAACTTGAGCCTTCAAACTGACCCGGTACGGAGCTGAGACCTGCTGACATGATGCAGCTTGATCAATCATGTCCTGCCTGCAGTGATTATAAATGACCCGATGTGGTCACATTAAATAACTTCTCCACCAAAATACGGTATTTATCAAATTTAACTTTGTCTAAATGTATGTGCGTATAAAAGCCAAAATAACTCGTGCTAGAAGAGTTCCATTTTCCTAAGATGAGAGAATTAATCTTTGATTATTGTTTAGATTGTTCAGTTTATTTTACTACTTTTCAAACTAGTTGTTCTCCAACTTATTATCCTTTATCATTTGTGTTGTTTGATTTTGTTTATCGTTGTTGATGATTCTTAGTTTGATTCATTATTTTTGTAATAAAACGTCTAAGACAAAATTGGTCTCTTCATTCAGATGAATATTCATGTTCTGGTCCAGAACTCCCTGTAATGAACAGAATCTACTTCAGTGACTGAGTTCTGATTATTAAAGGGTGACACATTAATTAAGTTGTTGCTGGTCAATAAACTGACCAGCTGCTTTAACGAGTGCAAAACAAGTAAACAAGTGAAGTGAGGAGCGTCACCGTCCTTCCTCCATCACTCATATATGCTGCACACATTACCAAAACTCCCAGTATGAAGAGAAAACTCCAGCTTGATGGAGAAAATGTGGAAATATAAATGTGAATCATTTTCATGTTGTTTGGGTCTGTCAGTAATTAAAACTTACTTGAAGGAGTTGCATAATGCAATACAAAACATTACTGGAAATCAACAGCTTCTGGAAAGTCCAAGTATTGTTTGTTACGGCTGAAGGATGGTCAAGGATGGACAAAATATGGATATTTAAGAGAATAACTGACTAATATCTGAAGCAGATGTACAAGTTAAATATGTTTATACTTGTCAATAAATGAGTAAATGAAAAAGAAAAAGTATTTTAAACATTTTATTGTGAACAAACCAATGTATAAGTTAACCAGATATTAGGGGAATATATATATATATATATATATATATATATATATATATATATATATA